TAACCGGCACTCCGGCCTAACCGGCACCCCGGCCTAACCGGCACCCCGGCCCGCCGCCATCTTGGGCGGGGCCGCCCCTCCTCCCGCTCAGCTGACAGAGCTGCCCCCGGCCCGCCTGCAGCGCGGTCGCCGTGGGCGGGGCCTCCCGGACGTAACCCCGCCCCTGGGCGGGGCACCGACGCGCTAATCCCACCCTAAATGGGGTCTCGGTATTGTAACCCCGCCCCTAGATGGTGTCTCTGAACTGTAGCCCCGCCCCTCGGTACATGTARCCCCGCCCCTAGGCGGGGCCTCTGCGCTGTAACCCTGCCCCTAGATGATGTCTCACACTGTAACCCCGCCCCTCGGTACCTGTAACCCCGCCCCTAAATGGTGTCCCTGAACTGTAACCCCGCCCCCAGGCGGAGCCTCCGCACTGCAACCCCGCCCGCGCACTTAGGGCAATGAAACTCCGCCCCTAATCTGGTCCCCGCCCCCTAAGCTAGTCCCCGCCCCTCTCCGGGGGCGGTGACGGAGGCTGGCGCGGGGTGGGCTCTGTGGGACGGCGGCCGCGCGGGCCCGTTCCGCGCTCTCCCATGGCGGAGCGGGAGGATGTCGGTGGTGCTGGGGCTGCTGTCGCACACGCTGGGCCGCGTGCTGCGCTCCGCCGGGCTCCGTAGCGGCTGCCATGCCCCGCGCGAGCCGGCCATGGAGCAGGACAAGGCGCTCGAGGTTTACGGTGACTGTCGCGGCGCTGGCGGGCAGGCCGCGCGGCCCGTGAGGGGCCCTCGGCGGCGCAGCCGGGCGGCTCCTCCCGGGGCCCTCCCCGGCCCGGCGCAGCGGGCACGGCTGCTGCGGAACCACCCCGCTTATAGCACCGAGGGGGTCCGTCCCTGGAATTGCTGCCTGGAGGGTGTAGGGGAGCAGAGGGAACGGGCTGCCCCACCTCAGCGGTAGCCTCCTCCCGGCGCTCGGGGCACTGAGCGGTTCCCCCTTGGCTTGYGGGGCTTCTCGCGGAGAAAAAGAGTAATAAAAGATAAAAATGGGCAAGGGAAGGTAATAGAAACTGAGGAGACGTGTCCACGCGGAGATCCCGTCGGTGCGTGCGATGTGCAGCTGTACAAGCCTAGCCAAGCAGGACAGCCAAAATTGCATACCGAAAGTGCCAGAACTGTGGAAAAAGTGAAGGTCCTTCTTAGCGGTGTGCTGAGTGAGGGGATCAACCCGATTCTTGGGGGGCATTTTAACAAAGCCGGGCCGTTGGTTGGTTTGCTGCTTGCCCTCCCGGTGCCGGTGTGACGGAGCAGCGCCGGGCGCAGCCTCGTGCRCATCTGCGCTGGGCCCTGCGCCCCTCAGCATCGGCGGGGGCTGCGGGCTGTGCCAGCGGCGCCCCTGCACGCTGGGGACGGGGTTAAGGCCTCCCTTCCCTCGCAGGGTTTATTTTATGCTCTAAGCGATGGCAGTGTGTATAGCATAAATAACAAGCTTTGCCACATCCACAGGAGTCCCTGCGGGAGGGCGAGTTGCTGCGTGGGAYGCTAGAAACGCGCGTGGCTCTGTGGTGGAGCTGCTGCCAGGGCTGCTCTGAGAGGAGAGCACAGCTGCGGCCTTCCCTTCTTCCTCTGATTTTCGACCTAGCTTAACCCAAACCACTTCCGTAGCTTTATTTATAGCAAAAATGCCTGGACGTGCACTTTTAAGGAGCAAGCGGCAGTGTCTAAGGCACGAAACGAAGGTGACAGCAGGGAACATCTCAGGCATGGCCATTCCTGAGAGAGTTAGTATTTCTTCGGGTACGTGGCACACACGAGCAGAGACCTGTGCTCTCCCTGTTTTCTTACATCCTACATTACTCCGCAAACATTGAAATGCAGGATCTTATTTTTCAGGTTCTTAAGTTTACCAGATTCATTTACTATCATGTTCTATTTTGTGTATTAGTTTTCAGTGCTCTATTATCATATGTTGTAGCTTCTGAATAGCACTTTAAAGGCTTTAGATCCATGGAAATAGTAACAATAAATGTGATTGCTTGTATTATGAAAAAATGTGTTTCACACATKGCAGAATGAGTGAAAAATACTCTATAAACAGCAATGTCCTTTATCGTTTTCCATAAAGGAGTTTTATGGTTAGCTGATGCCCCCCTTTTATAGGCTAATGCAGTGATCACATTTGATGATTACCCGTCATTGATATGGATAAAAGTGGATTAGGGCATTATTCTTGTCCTGGCTTTCCTTAAGATGATTTCAAGGTGATTTCCTTAAGATGATATCTGTGAGGCGCAGGCTGGGAGCTGGAAGGAAGGAGGTGGCACTGAAAAATTACTTATTAATATAATGATTTGCTTTTTTGGGGGGCAGTTCTCAGCTCTGCCTCCGCTGAGGATGAGAGAAATAAACAGTGTGGGGGAACTTCTTTACACAAAATATTACCTATTAAATATAGGAAGGCTTCCTTATTGTGGTGTCCTATCTTCTGCTTTAGATATAATCCGTACTATCCGGGACCCGGAGAAGCCTAATACTTTGGAAGAACTGGAAGTGGTGACGGAAAGCTGTGTGGAAGTGCAGGAGATAGGTGAAGAGGAGTATCTGGTTATCATCAGGTTTACACCAACAGTACCTCATTGTTCTCTAGCTACTCTCATTGGTAAGATTTCTGTTTCATTAAGCCTGTAATAATACATATACAGTCAATTGTGCCTTATCGGAACAAGACCAGTGTTGGTGTTCAGTATTGTTTTGACAGCAATTTAACTTTTGTAGAAGGTGAAGTACAGGTAGTAAAGCAATAGCCAGCCAGGAATAATTTCGACCAATTTATGCTGATTTTTTTTTAACAAAGGTTAGAACACAAAACAAGCATTTTCCTTGGTACTGATGGAGCCACGGTGACCATTAGGAAGATATATTTAAAAATGTAGGGAAAAGCTGGAAATAAAGATTTTTGTGTATTTAGAATATTCAGAAAGTATTAAGACCCYGAAGATCTCCTAAGCCTGTAAAGCAGGTATAAACTCAACTGAGAAGCTCTCTCCACAGGGGACGAGAAAGGTTATTTAATCTCTTCTGTGGCTTGTGCTGTTCAGAAGGACCAAGAAGATTGTCAGTTGTACTGGTGTGTTTTGATTGTGAATACGTATCCTCTGAAAATGTACCTCAAACATTGAATTTGGCAAGCAAAAACTCTCTYTYTTTTTTTTTTTTTTACAGGCCTTTGTTTAAGAGTAAAGCTTCAGAGATGTTTGCCTTTTAGACATAAGGTAAAGTATCTGTTCTAGAGCTTGCATTAAGCCACATGGAAGTGCTCCTGGGCCTTAGTAAATACAGYTGCCTGTCTTAACAGGAGTGCGTTCTGCACGATGCCTTTTCAAGGGTGGTTGGCTTGTGACAGTGGCTGTTGCAGTTCTGGTCATTTGGAAACAAACAGTTCCTGAATTGTGGTCTGCAGAGATCTCAGTGGAAAAATAGTGCCAGTTCTCCACCCCACTTCTGGTAGCTGAAATGCAATTACTGTTTTACASAGGCAGCTGATACCAGTGAGGAAGAAATTCCCTGCAGTTTTGAGGAATAATTGGTGACTGTGGAATGGAGATTGCCTTGTGATTGCACTGCACTGAAGCGTTAAGACCAGTTATTGCCATTGATCCCATTTCACTGTCTGTGGACTTTTTAGAAGTCTAAGTTACATTTCTGCAAGTCGTGAATATATTTAACTATTGATGTATGTATCTAACTGTATTGATCTCTTCTCTAGCTGGAAATCTACATATCTGAGGGTACACATTCCACTGAAGAGGACAGTAAGTAGAGCTTAAGAATGAGTGGAGCTTGAATAGACTGAGAGTTGTGTCCTTTAGGAAGTCCTTTTCCTCTCCCACTTACTGTCCTTCCCAGAAACTAATGTGTTGTTAACAGCTTTAAAATGACAAATGTAGATGAGGCTGTTTCAAAGGCTGTATCCGTACTGCAAACGTAAACTGCTTCTAAAAACCCTATTTCTTGCAGGTGTTATGTAAGAAGGTTTTCAATAGGCTGCTGATTAATGTGAGGAATTTTGTGACTGACTGAGAATTGTATATTTTTGGTGTCGCGAAGTTAAGACAGTAAGATCAACCAATATTGAAAAGCAAGCTTGCAGGACTGTGGTCAGTCGCTGTGTTCAGCAGCTGTTAAAAGCTTTGTCCAGGCAATGGCCCAGGCCTCTTCAGCTCTTGAACATTAGAAATCTTTCTACAGGGAGGGGAGATACCTGCCCTTTTCATGAAGGGATTTGAAATTAAACATAGAAAAAWTCACACTTGCTTTGTTGCAGAGGTTATTCTTGATGTTAAGACATGCTATTGCTGTATTTCATATTCCTGTCTTCACCTAGAAAAGTATGAAAAGCAGWTGGTCTGTGATGTATGTTCTTGTGTGCCTGGGCTTTCATTTGCCTCCGTTCCCAGATTTCCTGATACACCCGTTTCCTTTGGGTCTTTGCGCTTGAGCATCTTTGTGTTTCCCGTGTCCTTGCATTACACAACGTAACACGTCCTTTGCTTAGGCCAGATCCCTTAAACGGGGATATCACGGGGCTGTTTCAGAGCCTGGGCAAGCCCGAAGCTCTACCCAAAGAGCAGGTTGCAAAGAAAGTTGTCTCTACAACGTGTCCCTACAAGGGCCCTTTCTCCTTTCTGGAATGGGGTGTTCCTTGGGTTTGGAAAACATCCCTGCGTGCAGGGTCTTGTGTTTGCAATGGTTTGGTGGTACTCTAGGGGTGGTGCATCAGTAAAACTGCTCCTGACTTCACCTTTTCCTTGACGTTTTGCAGTCAACAAGCAAATCAATGATAAAGAAAGAGTAGCAGCTGCGATGGAGAACCCAAACTTGCGTGAGATTGTGGAGCAGTGCGTTACCGAGCCCGACTAGCCGCTCTAGGAACCACAGTTGTCGTTTTGATACGTTTGTTAAAATTTGTAAAAAAAGGAAAATAATAATAATGATGATCAAGGCCTTGAGTTTAATACTTGAGTTCTTTTTTTATCTTCCACATGTTTTTTTAAAAGAAATGTTTATAAGATAGATTTAAATTATGATAAATTAGTCTCTAAAATAAAGTGAATGTATAGTGTGAAGAGTTTGTAATATCCAGTGACCAGAAAAGTATTTTATCTCATTAAAACCAAAACAAGTTATCTGTATTGCCTTCTGATAGACTAATAGACTAATGCAGTTTTGGGGGTTACATTTCTACATTGTTTTAATCAAAACACTATAAAAATAAAAACAGATTCTTGTATTGAAATGTCACTTTGAGCTTAAAATGTTTTTCAAGCTTAGATTTTGATTTCTGTTAGGGAAGGAAACCTTTCATTGATCTTTATCATTTAGAAAAACATGAAAATTGAAAATAGTATTAAGTTGTCCTAGGTGTTTTCAACTTAATACATATTCAAAAAATGTTAAGTAACATTTTTATATGGATTTTTTTCCTAATCAGAGAGGATTTCTATACTGCTACAGTCTCCAGCTTGTGTGTATGTATATKTATATTTATATATCTATATAGATATAGATAAAATCTTAATTTGAGTTTCAAAAGTAAGAGGCACTTCTTCACATAAAGTCTGGTAGAAAACACAAACTGCCTGGCCACATCAAAGTGTGGATGCAGGGCAAAAAGTGTAATTAATGAGAGAGAAAAATGCTTAACTTTGTGCTACTGTAAGGCATGGTTCCAGGTTATCCATATAGTGATGGAGCCACAGTAACATCCTTTGCCCTGTGTTGTTTGAAATGGGAAGTTCTTTACTTCTCACTTTACTTCCTACTTTAAAAAAGAGAATGTTTGATTGGTGCAGGTGAGCTAGATGTTGAGAAGTTTAGCTAGTGCAAAGTAGGAGCCACAAAAATCTGTGACGGCAAACACAGATAGTGCATAGTGAAAGCATCCTGGGGACTTCAAAACATGATCATAGAGAGAATGGGTTTGTTTYCTCTAAACACTAATCTTCTGTCTTTATTTTTGATTTTTTTCCGAAGTGGAAGCTGGGGTCGGTGACGAGAGAAGTTCCGTGTCCTGTTGGGCGCCAGGCACGTGCGCGACTGCAGCCTCTCTCGGCAGGTAACCGCAGGACCGCGCAGAGATAACAGAGTTCTCTGTTGTTTGTGGAACGCACAAAGGCAGGAGCAGCGCTGTCTTCGTTAAGGGGCACTGGACACTCAGGTGYCCGCGGCTGCTGTCGCTGCCTGCACGGTCCCCTCTGTGCAGGGCTCTCCCGGGCTCGTTTCCCTCTTGCTGCTGAGAAGGCAGATTATTTCATGTCGGAAAGGCTCTTTTGATTTAAAAACATATGTAAGCTGCCCTTGTTCCCAGCAAATAGAAGCCATTTGTCTTTTTGCTTTTTGGCAAGTAGAGGCACAGAGTTTTTAAGGAATCTTACACAGAACAGCTCCCACGAGGACACAGCGRGCAGGGTGCGAGCGTCCGGGTGCATCCGGGCGCGTTTCCCACGAGGGGGAGCGTTGGTGCAGGGAAGGTCCCGGCGCGGGAGCTTCGCCCGGCTCTGGTTGTGGCTCTTCCCTTCTTTCCTGGCTGTCCCGGGAAGCGGCACCGCTGGTGGCCGCCGGCCCAGCGCGGGAGCAGGTCCCGGCACTCTTCACTGCCCGCTCCTCCTGCCCCTTCAGCCGCGGCCCCGCTGCCATCGTACCGGGACACGGATAATGTTCCTTACTGGATAATGTTCCTTATCGGGTCCCTGCTGCCGCTGGGATGGGAGAGGCGGCCCSCAGCGCCGCCTCTATCGCCTCGTCCCACGTTCCAGTTTCTGCCTCTGCGGACCTTCCTCAGGAAGCTGCTTTCCCTTGGGAAGCTGCTCACTCCCAACACGCTTCCCAACTGCAATTCCCTGCATCTCCCTCCAATCTCTGCCCTCCGGAGCACCCAGCCTGGCTCTTTGTGGCAATGCTGTGAGATCCGTGTGGAAGTGGTTGGTTTGGGTAGGAAAACCTAAGACAAGGAGAGAAGCCCAAGACCTTGTGTGTGTCCCAAGACGAGTTTGGATTATTCAATTAATTATTGACATCCATTTTTTCTATTTTATATCCCCTGGGATCAAACACCAGTGGGACTAGAAATGTAAACCGACCTGTTTGATGCCGTTTACTATTTGATAGCCGAGAGTATTTTTGTGCTGGGCGGGTTCTCCTGAGAATTCTCCTGCAGCACCACAGCAGGACCCTGTGAAATGCCCCCCCATTCAAACCGGCGTGTTCGGAGGCTGCTCCTTGGCAGAGCCGGGAGCGCTGATGGATCCGTGGGGCAGGAGAGCAGGGATGAATTCAAACCCCAAAATCCCGACCGCGCTGGAAGGAGCAGGACACAAAGGGTGAAGTCCCAGGCTGGGTTTTACTCAGAAGTTACACACAGGAATCTCCCCGGTTGGGTGATGGTTGTTTCCAACAGCACAAAGGAAGAGGGAAAGAAATGGGCTTGGGGCAGTGCGACTGTATTGCACAASGGGATGGGTGCCCCCCTTTTCCGCGCGGCTCCATGCAATCTCTGCTGTTGCTTGGCCCTCCTCTACAGCAGGAGGAGCAGCAGCAAGAGGCAGCTCCACCAAAACGCCCCGGCCCTCCTTGAGGACCGGAGCGGGAGTGAGTCCTTCCCGGGACTGGCGGATAAGCAGGGGAGCACTACGGAGCCCGTGGGTGCCTGTCCTTGGACAATATCCACATATATCCCAGTTAAAGCACTCCACTAACCTTAACAAACAGGGATCTATACACGCAGAGGTAAAGTTTTGAGCTTGGTAAGAGCACCGAAAAGCGGCCGAGCACCCAGCACCCCTCTAGGCTGGCCCTGGCCCTTGGTGCCTCCGGGGGGCAGAGCAGCAGCGCGTGCAACTCCGGCGCTGCCACGACCCTCTCCAAATCCCTCGGGATCTTCCATGCTCCCATGGGAGGGCCTGTGCTGTGTTGGTGCTGCGCTCGTGCCTGCCGTCCCGGAGCGGTCCCCTTGATCCCGCATGGATCGGGGCGCTCTTGGCGCGGCGGGAGCCTCGGGCGCCGTGGGGCTCCCGCGCGCAGCCGATGAGCGTCAGTGCATCAACATCCCAACGAGAAACAGGGAATCCGGCTGCCGGCTTCAAGTCCATTGAGGAAAACAACAACAACAACAGCTACTCAAAATGGTCAGCTACACGGGGGGGATGATAGATGCTCGTTTTATCTATATAAAAATAATAACAAAAGTCCGAGTTGCGTGCTGGCCTGCCAACACCGGGGGGGCCGAGGAGGTGGGACGGTAGCACCATGGTTGTCGGTGGGCGCTGCGCGGGGCCTCAGCGGCGCGGCGGGCGGCACGGTGCGGAGCTCGGGCGGGCGCGCTGGCACGCGGGGCCTGCGGGCGAGGGGACAGCGTCAGCGCCTCCAAACTCCTGTGCCCGGCGCTTCCCAGTGCGCCCAGTGCTTCCCACCGCGAGCGGCCACCGGGCCAGCCCGCCCGGAGGTGGGAGCAGGCTGGCCCAGGGCCCAGCGCTACCGGTCAGGTTTGACTCTGTTTTCCTTCTGCTCCCACTTCACGCAGCAACAAACCTGCCCTGTGTTCGGGCCCCAGGATCTCCTGCAATTCCCCAAGACCCTGTGAAATTCCCCAAGACCCCATTAGATTCCATCAGCRTCGCCTCATCCCGCTTCCTGCAGAAACGCTTACATTAAATCCCAATGCYGCCTTTCCCAGGGACAGGTGAGGTCCTTCCCAGGCAGACGCCAGACCTGGCATTAATTGATCCCTGCCAGACGCAGGCTTCCCGTGGGATGGGTGCGGGGCTGCTACGGATGGCCGCTTTGGAGAGCGATCCTGAGCYGGAGCGAGGCGGGAGGCAGCAGTGGCCCTGGGGCTGGGAGGCTCCCGGTGCTGGGATGCTCCCGGCGCTGGGATGCCTCAAATTTTTGCCTTTCAAAATGCTAAGCAGGGGTTAATCTTTGATGCTTAGGCTGGGCTTCCTCCTGCAAGGCTCTTATCGAAGGCCCCTGGCCGCGAGGCAGCCGGGTCCGCACCGCGCTCGGCCCGAGATAACCGGGCGCCGTCAGCCTGCTAAGCGGCTGCGCTGCACACGCAGCTCCGTGGAGCCTCCACTTGCTGAAGGTTAAATCTATTTACAGCTTGCCAAGGAGCAGGGGAGGAGAAGCATCTTCTCAGAAGCTTATCAAACCCAAGGTTGTGGACATGAGAAGGCTGCAGGCATGAGAATAAGCAGCGCTGCGCTGCTCGCCCTGGGGAAGGAAACGTGCCTTGCTGCTCCGCGCACACGGGGATTCTGACATTTGTTTTCCTGCTCCAGCCCGCAGCGGCCAAGGGCTTCGCTGGCCCTGGCTGTGCGTGAGGATGAACAACAGGGCAGTGCTGAGCAAGGCACCTGCGCCKGCGGCTTTGCTCCTGTGTTTGCGGCAGCCTGCTCAACAGAACTGCCCATATAGTGCATGTCCGACCAGGGCGAGCACATTCACAGATAAATCGCAAATGTGTGACGTGCATCGCTCCTAAATGTAGTAAAAACAGGGAATCCTGCTCCGAGCACCAATTCTCTGCTGACTCCTGTTTTTGAAGGCAGTAAATAACGAGAGCTTAATGACTCGCTTGGCATTACCTCCCTGTCTTGCAAGTAGGACACAGACTCACACGCTCAAACAATAGAGAATATTAGAATTTGTTGCAATTATTTCTAGCATGTATCCCCTGTGGGCAAATTTAGCCATACACAGAGCCATGAAAAATTCCATTTTCCTGCTCAAAGCAAGAAGGAATATCATGTTTAATTGCTAATTAATTTGGAGGCACCTAGAAATACAGTCAAATGCTGTAGTTAGCCTGGAGCACAGGACACAGCAGAGGCAGCACCGGCTATGGTGTGTCTGTGTGTCCCTGTGTCCTCGTGTCTGTGTGTCCATGTGTCCCCGTGTCCCTGTGTCTGCGTGTCTCCCCGTTAGCATTCTCTCGTTAGCATCCTCCCCGTTACCATTCTCCTCGCCACAAAGGACCTGCTGCTTTTGTGCTGGGAAAGCTCCCAGCCTGCCAGCTGAAAAGGCTTCTGTTGTTCCAAGTGCTCACATGGGACCTGCCTCCTAGCTCCTTTCCAAGGTGGATATAAAACTAAGTGTAATATTATAGCACAGAAATAAGCAGGCTATGTTTTTCCCCCTCTCCATTCTCTGGATGTGAGCTACAAGAACTAGCGGGGAGAGGAGTGGCTGGTGTGGGAGAAGCAGCACCAGACCGTTGGCCACCAAGTGAACCAAGGGCTCCTCCGTGTGCCATGGGACCACGCGCCAGTGCCGGAGCCATCTGAGGACACAGACAGCCTTATCTGCCTTTGCTCACAGCTGGATGCAGCTGCAAAACTACAGGCACGTCTAAAAATAACATCTGTGCAATCATCAATTAATTTATAACCTAGTGACATAMGGGGATTCTGCTTCTCATTAATTCTGACCTTCTTAAAGTGAAGAGAGCTGATTACCGGTGAGATGTTTGTTTACGTTTGATCTCTTCTGCCTCTTCTAAAAATTCATCTGATCGTGTTTTTAACATTTAAGCTCTATCCTGTTTATTTGCACGCTKAAGTCCCACATGGCCATAACTGCTCAGAGGGAAAAATGCTGGTATCATCGCACTTCATTTTGCAGATAGAGTCTCCTTGTACTTCTAACACAAACATCCGAATCCACGCGGAGCCCATTGATCTTGTGCCGTGAGGATCCTCCCGCGCCGGGGAGGGCTGGGGCTGCTGCTCCTGCCTCTTCCGGGAGCCTTTGCTTGTGCATTTGCACATCTGTGATTTCCTGCCCCGCAGGTTTGTCCCGCTTCCCAGCTTGGCACCGGCAGATGTTTGGATTTCCCGCGGGCGCTTCCTGCCCGGGGGACAGCCAGGGCACTCGCCCATCTCTCCTCTAGGGCCTCAGCACTGCTGATCGCAGCTCCTGCTGCACTCCCTCATGTCCACTTGCTCCTCTGCCCTAAGCCGGACTCGGCTGAGCGTCGCTCAGCAGCGGCGCCAGTCCCGACAGGCGCCCAAATGCAGCGGCCTTCAGGARGAGAAGGATCCTCTTCCCTGCGGGCTGGGAAGGAGCAGTTCAATGGCCAAAAGAATCACGGTGGCCAGTGGTGGCTGTGTCCTGAGCGCCCTGCGTCCTGCCCAGGGACGAGCAGGCGCTGGGCTTCTCCCCTCATCACGCAGAGCTGGGGCCACTTCCAGGAATCCAAAGGAAACGCTTCCGTCTTGCCCAGCAGAGGCTTCCAGAGGAAGACGAGCGCAGCCCCGCAGGGCCGGCCGGGTGTGATCCGGCTCTGCCCTGCGCTCCGGCCCTGCGTCCTCGGCCTGCGCCGCACATCACGGCCCGAGCCGGTGCCACGGCCACGAGGAAGSCCAGACCCTCCTCCTGGCTGTGCCCTCCGCCAGGGCAGCCTCCCTCGCCCCGGCCACGAGAGCACTCGGCCCACAGAAGTGCTTCTCCTTTCGCTAACCAAGTGATGAGGGCAAGCGAATGAAGCCACTCTCATTTACCTCCAGTCTTGTAGAAGTGCCAGCACTTCCTGGAGGCAGTTCCCGAGCTGCAAAAACACTGCAGGTCCTTCCCGGCTGCCGCTTCTTGGGTTCTTGCCCTTGCAGGATAACCCGGCCAACACAGGAGCCATCCGAAAGGATGAGATCCGGGAGCAGCGGAAGGAGCCCTGCGTGTCCATAGGGCTGTGCCCAGTGTGTCCATGGGGCCATGTCCCGTGTCCATGGGGCCATGTCCMGTGTGTCCATGGGGCTGTGCCCAGTGTGCCCACGGGGCTGTCCCGCAGGGCCGCCGCGGCCAGGGGCAGCACGAGCCCCCGCACTGTGCGAGCCCTAAGGTCGCTCCCTGCCCAGTAAAACTCCTGGGGGTTTAATGTTTCCTTCTGGGCAGACAGAAAGCTCTTTTCCAGACACATTAAAAAGATAAGGTTGATTAACAATTAACATGCTATAATCAGTGACATCCGATCCAGTCGATGTATTGCTTTTCCTCTAAAGTGCTGTTAACCCTTGCAGCCCATGGAGATCCCTGTCTGCTGCCAGGGCACCTCCAGAAGCAAGCAGGGAAGCAGGGGCCTGCAGTGCAGGAGAGCACCGAGTCGGCACCGTGGCACAGGGCCTGTGGCACAGGGTTTTGTCCAAGCAGGTTTTGAGAGTTCTGGGACTTTATCCCTAAGCAGCTTCTCACTGGCTAGAGGGTTTATTCAGGCATTTAAATCTAGCTGTCCTTCTCTGAATTACACATTACACAGCTGCATAATGTCCCCTCATGTCCCCTTGTCCAGCCTCCCCGTCCCCATTCCCGCTGGTAAAAGCACACCCAGCCCCTGGAGCTCTGAATGCTCTAAGGTTTATAGACAGCGATAATGTTCCCACTTACATATCAATTAGCTAAACTAGCTTTGYACCGTTTATGTATAAAATGCTTCCTTCAGGTTGCAATTGCCTTCAAAAGCTTTTCCCAAGTTGCCTGTGATCCTGCTCCTGAGCTCCTGATCCTGCATCCTGGCTCCTGAGCTGCCTCCCGATCCTGCTCTGGGCCACTCTCCTGMTGCACCGAGTGGCCTTCTGTGTGCCGGGGCCGCGTGGGCCAGCAGCACTTTCCACCTGCAGGAACGYGCCCGTGGGTCACACGCCACTCCTACCAGCCTCACCCGGGCTGAAACGCCAAACTCAGGTCGAGTCGCCTGCGCCCAGAGCCTGCGATGTGACCCGGCCACACATCTGTGCCCAGCACGCAGGCAGTGGGCTTCCAAAGCCTAAGCCTATGTCCTCTGAGGCAGGCTGGACTCTCTTCGGGAGGACTGCCTGGCCCCATGCACGTGCCTGGAGAGCTGTAGGCAATTACCAGAACCAGCAAATATCCCTGCCATGGATATTGGCTGGCAATTACCAGCAAATATCCCCRGATCCGGAGCAGCTCCAGAAGCAGAGGACAAGCAAAGCTGCACTAATACACAGAGGAACCGAATGGAGACGCTCGCTGCAGACACAGCCTCCCTCCGCTCTGCCGGTGAACCCCAAGCTTGGGTGGTGTCCGCAGCAAGCCCCACAAGGACAGCCACGCCGTGCCCCATCCTGCAGAGGCACCAAACCGCTGCCGGGACTGGGGCAGCAGGGCCCCGCGCTCACGTACCCGCCTCGGCGCTTTCGCAGTCCTGCGGGCTGCACTGCCGCGTGCTCTCGGGCCGGCGCTCGTGCTCGCAGAGGCTGCTGTCCTCCTCGGCCCCYGTCCTGGTGTCCATGCACTTCACCTGGCGCCGCTGGACGCCCTCGCCGCAGGTGTCCGAGCACTGCGGAGAGCAGTGCCCACGTCAGCACCGGCAGCGCCCGCGCCCGCCGCGCTCACGGCCGGTGTCACGGCCCAGGGCAGCGGCAAGGAGACAGCAGCGTCTGCCCTCAGCTGCGCCGTTGGGACCGCGGCCTCAGCTCCCCGTCCGGCACGTGGCTGCGGGGCAGGGTGGCACCTCACCAGCTGGCCTGAGAYGCCACCACATCCCTGGAAAAGCAGCTGTCCCGCAACGATGCCGAGGACTGGGGATCCCAGGGGAAGCGTTGTTCCTCGCCGTGTTTGCTCACCTGTCCCCAGGATCCAACCACCCATCTGGCGCAGGGGTGGGTGTTGCAGGGTCGCGTGCTGTTGGGCCGCAGGGTGTCCTYGCAGCGCCCCGGCTCCGGGCACGTCACCAAGCGCTGCTGCTCCCCGCCGCCGCACGACTCGGAGCACTGTGCAGGGAAAACAAGTCATCCGAACGGGAAGCAAGCGACTAGCAGGCAGGAAGACACACTCCACTTACTGGCTTAAGGAAGTGAAGTGTAAAATGGCCTGATAAATGAATAAGCAAACACAAAACCTGCTTCCAGGGCTGGATGTCCACTTGGGAGCTCCAGCTGTGAGCAGCAGGTGGTTTCATTCTTGCAACGGGCGCTCTAAAATGATTTGAAATTTATCTAGATTCAGGAGGATACGGTAGATTTGCTGAGGTATCTGCTTGCGTAGGCCAAACATTTCAGCAGCCAGAGTGACCCTGGCCCTGGGACGGGTGGCCGGCGGGCAGCGCCTCTATTCTGACCGGGCAGCAGCTCTTGGGCACCTCGCTATGTGGATAAGCAAACAGAAAGAGCCAGCCAAATATGTGTGCAGGGAAAGAGGAAACAACCACGGAYGTGAAACACCGGCTGCCAACAGGCACGCTGCTGCCTGACTGCGGCGGGTGTCTGCTGATGAGTGGCTTGCACTCGGAGGCTGGCTGGCAGCGAGCGCACGGGCTGAATCGCTGCTTCGGGGCACTCGGCTGCTTTATTCAGCTCAGGGGCCGCTTAAAAGCTGTGTGCAACAACGACTGCCGGACAGGCTGCGTCCTGCTGACCAGGTGCTGCAGGGAGCTAAAAAAGCAGAGCTCGCTGGGGCAAATGCTCAGGGTCAGGGGCAGCTCTGGGTCAACACAAATGCTAGTTAAGCCTTTCACTATTTTCTGAGGCTGAGTGATCCCATGGTTTCACACATGCCAGAAGTCCGCTGTGTGCGCCCAGCTCCTGCTGGGAAACCATGGGAGCTGACAGGAGCTGTGCACACAATTTGRCAGGAGCTGTGTATACAACCTGACAGGAGTGTGTGTACCACCTGACAGGAGCTGTGTGTACAACCGGATGCGAGCTGTGTGTACAACCAGATGGGAACTGCATTTTGTCTCTGGCTTTGTGCAGCTCTTGATGTTCGAGTTGCAAGTGAGGGGCCACGCAGAAAACAGACCTAGTCCCAGTGGAGCTTCCAGATCCTGTGATGAAACAAGTGCTCACCATGACCTTGCAGGTCACTTTTTGGTAAAAGACAACAAGCAAATCCCCGGTCTTGCCTATATTTGCAAAGAGCTGTCAAAACCTTTGCCAACAGCGAGGCCAGCCTGTGCGCTCACTGCCTGTGGCCGGGCAGGCGCGAAGCCCCGCGGGCGCCCTGGGCTCGGGTGCTGATCCCTCGCACRGAGCCCTCACCTCTCGCCAGGAGGACGTGTACCAGTGCAGGCAGGGCTGGCTCTGGCACGGAGCCCGCGCGGGCGGCTTGTGGAGCACGGGCTGGCAGTGGAAGGGCCGCAGGAGCCGCTGCTCCCTCGTGTCCACGCAGTGCACGTCCCGCACCTTCCAGCCCCCGCCGCAGTTTCTGGAGCACTGGGGAAGCGAGAGAGGAAACACGAGTGAGAGGCCGTAAATAGTGTGTCCAGCTGGATCTCTCCAGCAAAGGGAACTGACACAGAACTTAGAGGAATGGACTGGCAAGCTCTCTCCTCAGGTGTATTGAGTCAACACTCATTTTCACCACTTTATCAAGTCCAAGCTACAATCTGCTCCTTGGAGCTCTGAATCAGTCACTACCTTCTCTCTGAAAGCAGTCAGCTTCCAGCCACAACGGCAACACAGTCTTCAGGATGGTTTCCCATCCAAGTATCTCAGAAATTAAGGCCACCCAGAAAAGTCAAGTTTGTTCCCTAGCATTTAACCTCGGTGGATTCACCCAGCCTAACTGCAAGCGTCTCCCACTAGTGCAGGTTCTTAAGAACATTTTTCAGAGACTTTCAAATCTCCTGCAAATTCCTGTCTTTTTAACCATCCCAAGAGCAGGAAAAATAAAAAGATTACAGTGGAACAAAACAATTTAAACTCTGTAGGAATTGCAAGCGGACACCCCCAACCCAACTGCTCTCCAGGGTAAAATTTCACCCTCATCCCTTGGGAGTCAGGGGCAAGAGCCACGCAGTGAGCACCCGCTGCTTTCATTTCTCTGCAGCTCATGAAGGGAAGCACCGTGAAGGACACGCTCAGGTGTGTCCTCGTGTTTACCTTACTCCAGTTGCCCACGTGCCACGACGCGCACGGTCTCAGGGAGCACCTCCGAGCAGGGACAGGCTTGTTGGCCGCGACGCAGTCCTCGCTGCTGCCCGAGCTGCAGCGCACGGCTCTCCAGCTGGCGCCCACGCCGCACGTGGCAGAGCACTGCAACACACACAGACCCTCCGCTCTGCGCCACCTCATCCCGCCGCTCCGTAGGGCGGCTCGGGACCAAAGCACACAGAGCAGTGTCCCAGCAGAAATGCTGCTGAGAACTTGCTGGCTTTAGCTTTTAAATGGGGAGATTTCTATTAATTAGCACTGGTGGCTGCAGTTATTTGACTGTTCTTTCTAAATATATGTTTCATTTCCTTCATGCTTGGCTCTCTTTTACAGTTCCTGCATGTCTGCTTTTCTCTTGGTGCTAAAAGCTCAGGTAGAGATTTCCCTGATTTATCTCCATCTGAAAGGCATCATCTCCACCTTTTTTTTTTTTTCACTTACCCCTTGCTTTCTAGGCTGATCTGAATTATTTTGTAGCTGCCAATCCCTCCTAAAGCCTTTGCAGAGCTTTCAGAACATCCTACCTTAATTACACCAAGGCAAAGCTCTGCCACAGCGGTGAAATTAGTCCTATTCCAGGGCTGTAACTGAGAGCACAATTTACTCAAGTGCTCTGAATGGAGGCTTGTCAGCTCTGTTGGCAGCATTCGAAGGATGTTCGGTGCCCTTTCATAAAGCTCACATGTGTGACACTGTTTTACTGATACAAGTCTTGTCCTCAAAGTTACTGGCTCCTTTGTGCAGACTCCTGAAAAGATTCTCCTAATGAACGGTCTCTAGTGCTCTGTGACACTGAAGGCTTATTATTTTTGTGCTCTCTGATAAAACGCCATCCCCACGAATTGTGTAAGCCATTAAGCTGTCACTGCAARTGCTCTGCAGAGAGCAGCCACAGCACAGCCCTGCAGGGAACCGATAGCTGCTAATTACTGATAACATCACGTTCCCCACATTCAGCAGAGCCCTTTCCCTCAGGTAATTTGCAGCCTTGATGTACCTTCCACTTGACATTTTAATTTCTGTCATTTTGTGGCGTGTTTTATGAGAGTCCTGTAAAACGCCGGGAGGAGCCGGGTGTGCAGCGCACACGGCTGCACGATGTGATCCGCTGATCACTCGGGATGAGCCGTGGGGACGGACAGGCCTCTCCCCTGCGGAACGGCCAGGTTTTCGGGGAATCAACACRTACCTCGCTCCAGTTCCCAACCTCCCAGCGGGGCGCTGCAGGCGCTGCTGTGGTGGTCGACGGCAGGCGCGAGGAATCCCCCACCTCCTCCTCCATCCTCTCCGTGTCCCAGTGCCGCTGGGGGCTGCGGGTGGCCTGGGSTATCTCGCGCTCCCCGCCGCCATCCTCAAGTGTCCCTGGGGTTCCCCGTGGCGAGTGGTGCCGTGGGGTAGCACTGCTGGGCTGGGCTGCACCGGGCGCCTGCCGCGTGCTCGGGGACACCGGCTCCATCACCGCATCGTCGGGTCCCCGCGCGGCCCATGGTGCTGGGGTGGGCTCGGCGGGTGGCACCGCTGCTGGGCGCGCAGCGGGGCTCGGGTGCGGAGGCATCAGCACGGGTGGCGTGGGGGCACCTTGCGGGGCTGCATCCCTGGATGTGAGGCCAGGAGCTGGTGCCGGTACGTGGGGAGGCAGGGATGCTGCTGCTGGGAGGGCCACCATGGTCACTGGCGTGGCCCAGGGCACCGCAGTGGCACCGTGGGGCTCTGGTTGGAGACCCAGTGCCACTGTGGGGACCCTGCCAGTCCCTGGCTCGCTGCTGCCCGGGCTGGGATGGGGAATTGCACCGGGATCGGGCTCCTCGCTGGCCTTGACCGTCTCCTGCTCGGGTCTCGGCACGGCCGGGAGAGGCCCTGGAGGSTCCTTGGGCGCTGCCGTGGTGCCCGTGCTCGCAGCCTCCCCGGCTGGCACACTCCCTGCCCACGCTCCCTGCTCCCTGGGGCTGGAGGTAGCGGCGTTACCGTCACCAAGGAGGACAAAACCCTCCTTGCGGGAGCGTTCGTGGCCTTTCCAAGCAGTGCCAGTCCAAGGGCGCTCCTCGCTGCCGGCGTCACCAGGAGCCTCTGCACTTCTGTGATCCGCCTCTTCGCTCCCAACCTCATCCCTGCGTTTGAGCCCGTCCTGGGCATCGTCCCCTCCAGTGCTGCCCCTGCCCACGGGCCCCGGCGGGGTGGGAATGGCCAGATAAGGGAATGTGGTGGGGAGGCTGCTGCCTGGCAGGTCCTGCCTGGAAGTGGTRCCTGTCAGCACGGCCCTCGGGGCGTTATCAGCGGGCAGGTTATCAGCGCTGGTTACAGACTCGTGTGGCTTCTGGATGCCAGGGAGGTCTCCGGAGTTTCTCRGTGTTTCTCCCCTCTCAGCACTTGCACCGTAGGGATCCTCATAGCCGGGAGCAGCCGTCCTGATAACCCCGTGCTCCGGGGCCACGACAGGGAGGTCGTTCCCGAGCAGGCCGCCCGGCTCCTTCTCCTCTTCCCCATGCCCTGCAGCAGGAGCACTTGCTTCACTGCCCACTGCATTTTCCTCCTTGGCTCCTGCAGGCTTTAGCGGGTGCAGGTCATCGGCAGGCACCCCCCGAGCATCTTCCACGTTGTTGGTGCTCAGCTCCGGCTTTGCTCCCTCACTTTCCGTGTCTTTTTCAATGAACGGATCATAAGACAGATCCTCGTGGAAATTGATGAAATTATAATCGTAATAAAAGTCATCCACAAAGAAATTTCCCTTCCTGGATGAAAAGTCCTCCTCAGTTATGATATCATTGGACTCCGGAATACTTGGAATAAAGGGGTTAAATTTAGCAATATGGTTATTGGGAATGTAATGTATTTCATTCAATATTTCTCTGCTGGAAGACCCGCTGCCAGACCAGTCAGTGTTGGGGTTTTCTGATTTCTTCTGGCACTGCTGCAAAGAGCAAACAGCTTCCGAGGTTGGTCTTTGGGCAGGATCACAAGTTGCTCGCGTATTGTTGCTGCAGAAAACAGGGCGCCTTTGTGTCCCGTTTCCGCATGTCACCGAACACTAGAAAAGGAGGAGAAATGAGAATTTAAGGGAYGAGAGCAGATTTAGCACAGTAAATCACACAGATTCCAAGCTCAGGATACTGTGGGAATGGCACCTCGTGCAAGGGCCGCCGGGTCCCTTATGTCTTTGCTGAATACTCCTTGCTCCTGGATTCCRGGAGTCAGATCTGAGGTATCTGATAATCTACAAATTACTGAACGGGCCGAGTTCTGCGGTCTTTCCCCATTCAAGACCCTCCCAGTGCAGCGTATACATTGCAGGATACTTCGCTCATGGTGATCCCTGACCTGCATTCCAGCCAGAAACRATTTTCCCAGGAGATAGGCACTCTGAGGGGCATTGGATAAGATGATCTAATAGGTCTTTTTTAGGTGACCTATTGCCATGAATTGCAGCTCTTCTTTAGAGGAGGTTTTTTAAAGAAGGGGATAATAACATGGGTGTTGTCCCAGTAAATGAAAGAAAGAAACCAAGGGTCAATAAGRAGTTTTGTTGAGGACTCCTCACCACAATGGGCTCTTTGACATTGCTCAGTATAAAAGAAACCCACAAACTGGAAAGAAGGACAGTGAAATTTTCTGCTCCATAAGTAAATAATAGTGCTACAAATACCACAYGTGGGCCGCACAGCCACAGATTACTACGTTTGCTATGACAGATGCTTAGAGCATTAGTCACATATATCAAAATGCTTTACAAAATCCAGCTACCAAGACCAACCAACACATCAAACAAACCCAGCARAGGGGCTTTCTGCAGAAATGCCTGTTATTTGGATGAAAACACATTGGATTAGGCAAGAGTTTGACCCTAGGCTGCCAGCACATGGGAATTAGAGTTTAAGGTGGACACAGGAGCTCAGGATTTCTGCTGAGCTTCTGGGCTGGGTCTGGCCAACCTGCTCCATGTGCAGGTGATTGAGTGCACATGTGCAGCAGCTCCCACACCAATGCCATGGCCTGGCTGTCCACTGCGTCTTAATAAACCTGGGAATCATCCTGCTGGGTTGCAAGAGCACGATGAGCATGAAGAGCATCCTCTGTCCTACGTGAACGTGCACTGGGGAAGGACTTGACAATAAGAGGACACTTTGGGGATGAATCACAAGCATGGGCAGGCCGGCAAGCAACGAGAGCGACTCTCTGGCACTGGTTTATACACTAGAACTGCGAGGGATGGCTGAACCCCCAGGATATGGGCATGGGATCTGCACTGATCCCTGGGCTCCTCATGCCATCCTTCMGTGGGATGTCTCCTTGGGGCAAGGGCTGCCCTCGCTCCTGCATTTCTTGAGCTCTTGATTTGGCAGCCAAAAGGGGGTGCCCAGCTCCCCAAGTGCCAGCCTATGCCTTCCTTTCTCCTGGGAAATAACACATGGGAATGCCATCTAGACCAAGGAATGTGCCTGGCACAAGGGACAGTCCATAGACTCCTGTACCCACTGCCAGGCATTTACACTAGTTGCACAATGCGGCTGAAATGTAGTATTGCCACATAGCAGCCCCTCCAAACAGGACCCGGACAAGCTGCTTCACCCTTCCGTGGCACCACTGCCAAAGCAGGAAGATGTGGGTCAACTTCCACAGCTCCCTTCAGCTTAAGCTTCCTAGCAAGCGGCTCTAACTGTCCCAAAGAGAAACACAGTGAGTTTCCAGGTGCCCTGACTCTTGCAGGGGAATGGAGGAGCTCTATTTGCTTATCCTCAGCTATCAGAAAAGCTCCTGGCAAGACAGATTAGCAGTAGCTTCAAAGGGGCATCACCAAAGGACTGCAGGAAGGTTTAACATCAAGCACAAGGGCTGCAGTCGCATTACGTGAGGCTGCAGAATGGGAGACGGGTKTTCCTCTATGCATCTGCTCATACATCAATAAATGACAAACATTTTCTAGAGCACACTGATAACTTCTGTGCAAAGTGCCCAGCTGGATGCCTAGAGCCTCAGGGCTCTTCTGAGGGCACGAAATCCTGGTGCCTACACAGAGCGGCCAAGCAAACCTGCAAACAGTCCTYGCAGCTTCGCTGGACTGCCTGGATGCACCCCGGGAGACGCACTGACGGCCTCTCCTATCTTAGGGTCTGCCAGTATCAACGCAATAAACCCCTCTATTATCACTGCATAGATGGAGTACGTTTCTGGAAAGCTTCCAGGCCACTCAAATTTCTCTATTTATTAGTGGTTGCGGAAATGGAAGAAAAAGAAGGTTTTCACTTACAATRAAAGAAGAATAGAAAAATTAGACATCTTAAAATCGCAAGCACATTTTTTTCTTGGGTTCACAGATTCACAGATTACAAAACCCAAAAGGAGCATTGTGACAGTCTGTGCTGGCTCCATACATAGCACAGACCCGAAGGCAACTTGGAATTCTTGATTTTGTCTTTAAACTCTTTCTCAACTGTGCAATTGTGGCTTCTGGGGGCCTCTAGAAAAATATTTCTAAATAGCTCTCATTTAGCCTACAAAGTTTCTGTTCACATTTTTACTCTCTCCGTTTCTTAGCAACAAACCCAATTCCCATTCCCTGCTTTCTCTTCTGATATTTCTCTGCACACTAAACATTTTGTGAAATCGCTGCTTAAATTAAGAGTTATGATTCCTGGTTAAAAGCCTCAGCTTGCAATTAAGCTGATTCATAAAAACACAAAAACAACAGAAGGCTGCAGGGCCTGTCCACAGGCCATGGCATTTTCTGCTTGTTTCGTCCCTGTTTTCTCCCTTTCCCAGTGCACTGTGCAGAGGTTCCCGGCGTGCGGAAGGGCCCCGCTGCACGGGAGGGCGGCTCTGCAGCAGCGCGCTGCAGGACCAGGTGCTTGGCTGCAATGCAGCAGCAAAAGGAAGCGCCGCTGGGCTGCATCTTGAGCTCAGACACAAAGAAAGCCTCCTGAAAAGCAGAATGACACCCAATGTTCCCAGTGCTGCTTCTGCAGAACCATCAATGATAGTGCAGTGCCCCTGAGAGCAGCGGGGGCACGAGGGTCCTGCTGCTTGTGCCACTGGCTGTCCTGCCCTGCGAGCTCCTCGCATTAGTGTGGGGCAGGGGGCATCTCCCCGTCTCTGCTGCAAGATCCCGGGCTCGGGGCAGCCAAGCGGGGCGGCTCCCACCGCGGGAAGCGCCAGCCGCTGCACTGGGAGTGATGGGGCAGCTTGAACCCAAGGCCACGTGAAGGGCCGTGTGCTGATGAGTGCACACGTGCGGCGCGCTTGGACCCTGCCCTGTCCCCAACACCTTCCGTCAGTCGGCCCCAAAACCGTCTGGCCTTCTGCCAAGGCATAAGGGATGCCTTGCAACGCTGGAAAATACATTRAGGGCTTTTAAAGCTCTTGTTCCTGCATTTCTAATTGCCTGCATCAAGCACTGAGTATGGCCTTTGCCCCGATAGAGAAAACAGGAAAACTCAGAGGGTGAAGAAAATATAACCTGCCTTGTGCTCATACCGTGCTGTGTCACCCGCCTCCTTTGCATCTGCCCTGGTTTGGTAATGAAAGCCTGCCAAAAAGCCCCCAAAGYCCCCGCTTTGCAAGCAGCCGGACCGCGGCACTCTATGTGCCTTCTCACCTGGGACCAGTTGCCAGCAGTCCACCGGGAGGGACAGGGCACCTCCCTGTGACAGGGCGCGGTGGCCTCGGGCCTGGGCAGGTGCTGGCAGTCTGCCGGCTGCAAAGCCCTCTGCTCGTCCATGCCCACGCTCTGGATGCAGAGCACCGTCCTCCTCATGACGCCGGCCTCGCCGCACGTGGCGGAGCATTTCTGCCACTCGCCAACCCACCACCTAGGAAGAGAGGAAAGGGCAGGGCGGGTGAGACGGAGCAGACTGGCTGGGCTCCCAGCGCCGCACGAGCCCGAGGGGCCTGAGCTGCCCTGCACACCCCGTGGGGCCTGGGGACATGGGGATCCCACCAGCGGGCACCTCGTGTGCCAGCCCACCCAAAGGTCAGAGTGCCCGGAGCAGCTCAGCTGGATCCGCGCCCACACTGTGGGGCCCGAGATGGTCATTTGCAGCAAGGCACCGAGGGAGCCGAGCCCCTTGGG